GCCGCGGAGGCAGCAGGAGCCCCGCCGCCCTCCCGAACCCACACTCGCCTCACCTGGATTTGCCCACCCCACTCTCGCCGATGATAAGGATCTTCAGGGTGGTCAGCACGTCCTCGTCCATCCTGACCCCGCGCCGCACCGAGCCCCGCTGGCCTCCGCGAGCGTCTCAGCCCTTCCCCCCGCGAGCAGCCCGCGCAAGCGCACCACCACCTTCCTGCGAACGCGGGGGTTTGGCTCGCCGACGCCGCGCCGCCCAGCCCCGCCCTAGGCAGCCCGGCGCCTGCGCACACCCGGGCGGCGGAGTCTTTCCGGATAGCGGGCGGTGCCCCTGCGCATGCGCTCTGGGGAGCTTCGGGCCCGGTCTGCCGACTCGATTGAAAGCTCCTGAATTTACGCTGTGTAATCTTGAGGTGACCGAATTTGGGGAGTGAGTGTGAAGCCTCTGTTTTCGGCAGCTGCTCCTGCTTCCCACTGCGTTTGGAAGCAGATTATTTTAAATATAGATTCTATTCTACTGAGGAAAACAGTTTAGTTATCTTGCGCATAAGAAAGGGCCTGACAACAAGCAGAATGACCAGCCATATTGCTAAGAATTAAAATACAAATAGACTGAACAAGGACTTGGGACGAAGAATGAACTTCCTCCGGCAATGTGAAATGCAGCCTGCTCCCACTAAAAGGAGGTAGATCCGCGCCCTACTAAGATCCTGAGTTCTGAGCAATTTAAAATGCAAGATAAAAAGTTTTCCTATAAAATCTCAGTTTCTTTTAAGCTCTATATGTTGAAGAACTGTATTAAAAGCCTAAATTCCAATTGGTCATTTCAAATCCACAGAGCCACCTGGGATAGGTGTCCTCTAAACAATCGAGCTATTCCTGTGGTTTGCTTGTCCAGAATTGGCGCTGGATAGGGTGGCGAGGAACCCATACTGGAAACCCTGATCTACTCCTCTTATTTCCAATAAAACTCTCCTAACCACCTCCTCTGGTTTGGAATTTCATTCATAGATCTTGTCAGCTCACGAAATTGTCCCATTTGATGTGTAGCAGGTTGAGAGTTACTGTTCCTGTCTAAACACCATCTTTCCTTATTCTGGACACTAGTTCCCCAGACTGTTTCCTATCTCAGGCAATAATTGTTGTTAAAGTAATACCTGCTCTTAACAGTGCTGTGAGGACTGAGTTAACTGAAGCGCCTCATAAAACGTGTGAACAGGTAATTCTCCCCTGTTAGATTAGAGTCCCCTCGTTAATCCATCTTGAAAGGAGATGTAGACTCAGGAAAAGCAGGTGCAACTTCGACCCAAAGATTCCTACTCAAAAGAGCTGGGACATCATGACTTGGAAAATTGTTTGTGTGTACCTTGTCTCTTTCACTAAATGGAAAATAAATCTTAGTGAAGGTGCCAAACTTCATATACAACACCTAGCCAAGTTCCTGATATGTGGCAGGCACTAGAGAAACGGTAGTTCTCATGTCTTATTTCCCAGTGCTTAAAGCGAAAGTCACATGCAGCAGACCCAATCAACGTCCTTTGCATGTGACTAAACTAAGTCAAGGAATAGCTCTTCATCAGATACGCAAATGGTTCCTTCAGGTCTTTACTCAAATATTGATTTCTCAATGAAATCGAGTTACTTTCTTGTCTAGACTACTAAAATGTGCAACTACTAAAATGTGCAGAATTCCATACCTCTGTGCACTATTTTTCTGCGTAGCACTTTACCACTTTCTGAAATATCCTTTTTATGTACAGCATCTGCCTGGCAAGTGTGAGGTCATGAGTGCAATTCCTGATTTTTTAAAAACTGTTTAATTTGTCATTGTCTAACTTCCCTAAGAAGAAGTCCTTTTAGGATAAGGTTTTTTTTTCCCCCGTTTACTGATGTATTCTCTCAACATCATGTATCCTTACCATTTAATATATGCTAAATAAATATCTGTTGAATTAGTTAAATAAATGTTCTAGATTCTGTTCCAAACCTTGAGGATGATAATGTCAAGCCAAGAGTAAACTTCAACCTCAGAAAATCGCCCTTGAATTTTTTTTCTTTTTTTTTTTTTTATTGTATTTTAGGGAAGGGTGTACAGGGTGTTCAGGGTCTCACTACTAGATCTGACTCATAGTGATCTGCCTGTTTACAGCCTCCCAAGAACTGGGATTACAGGCATGAGCCACCATGCCCAGTCTTAGCCCTTAAAATCTTGATCAGGTCTTTTCAGCTTACTTTTGGCTGTAACATCAGCATTTTAGTTGGGGTTTGCTGTACTGTGAAGGTCTTCTGCTCTGGAGCAATGATTCTAGAAGTATAGTCCCCAGATTCCTAGAGGATCCTGAGAGCCTGGAGAGGTGTCCTCAGATCAAGCTATTTGTGTGATTATTTAAAAGATTATCTACATAATGGAGTTTTCCAGAGGCTACATAAGATATCAAAACAGACAGAAGAACCAGTATGAGAATTCAGCTACTTTCTGTTAAGATAATTAGATTTGATAAATTCACAAGTGTCACTCTTATTAATTTTTGTTTTAAAGTAATAATTTTCTTAAAATGTTATTTCAATTAGAATTGGAGTAAGTATGTTATTTTAAGTGACTCAAAGGCTAAATCTTAATATATAACCATCTAATTAAAAAATCGTTTTGGGACCAAGGAGCTAGCTCAG